GTTTTTCTTAGAAAAAAAAAAGAAATAGAGAGATTGCGTTATCATTTACATCAACGAAAAGTGATTTTTTTTAGGGATAATAAGCTATTATAAGTATTTATCCTAACATAGACTATAGATACAGAAAATATAGTGTTCATTGAATATGCCACAATATACTTATAATCCACTCCATTTTGTAGTTTAACAGAAGTTTNTAAAAAGATCAAAGGAAGCAAAAAAATTATTAAAATAACATACAAATAATTTACTAATTACATACAGTTGAGTTAATGTGACTCCATAAACTTTTTAATACAAATTTTATGTTATTGGCATATTTTATTTTATAACCGTCTTTGAATATCCGACCCAATTTTTGGGTTTATGACTTCTAATGTTCAACTCCGTAGCCTTTTAATTTGTTGCGTAGTAATTTTGAACTCAATCCAGAAGACAAGGGAACTTCTGGATCAAATATTGAGAGAAATTTGCCTACACGGAGGACTTTTTGACGGAACTTTACTACATTTGCGTTACATGGAGAAGATCTCGAGAACCTCCCACAGTTAGCCTGACCGCAAAGGGACTGTAACCCATGATCTCTCTACCACTAAGGATATTTACCTTCAGCACTGTGGTCGGTGAAAGCCTGGTGCGGAATTCGTATCGACCAGCCATCGTGGCTCTATTGCATATTAAAATGAAAGCGATGGTGGTAGCGCCGTTGGCTGCTCACTTCACTTGCGAAATTCAATTTTAGAAGCCGCCTAAACAACCAGTGTAAATACACAGTAAGGTTCACGTTAAATCTATTGTGGCAAACAGTGCCATGTAGATTGTGATGCGAAAGTTTAGAGAGAAGGATACCAGATCAGGTGTTGTCCACGTTATCTGATCAAGACCATAATAACATAGCATTCCTACCACGCTTAATAAACGATGAAGACCCGAAAAACGGGACTAGGTGCTTAGCCATGGTTTGGTGAAGTGAATTTTATGCGATATTGCTCCAACGGATCAAAAAAGGAGGTAAACGGGATCTAAATTCATTATCTAAATTAGAAGACAAAAATAAATTATTTAAAACAAGTTTATGTTATTAAGTTGCAAAAAAAATTACGATTAATTAAAATTTAGAGTCATTTGAACAAAACTTATAATAGATGGATTTTCAAGTTTAATGTAGTTTTAAATCGATTAAACAAACAATTTCATAAATTTTAGAGTGATTCTTAATAAATCTAAACTCACATTTCCTTGAGACTCGTTTCATTTTTAAGTTATTTGTAAAGTGTCTTTATCATAAAAATAACATTATATTTAAGTTTGAAATAAATGGATATTTTTAAAAAAAATAATTTTTTTTTCTTTAGTTTTTATTAATAATAATTTATTCATTATTGTAAAAAATATATTTATCTCTTTCAAGATCTTCAGATTATAGCCTGCACCGTGCCTGATATCATAAACAAAAAAAAAATTGAATAAATAAAAAAAATTAAAGTTAGATGTTGCCAGAAATAAATCTTAACGTTTGATATTAAAATGTTTAAAAATATTAAAGATTCAAGAGACATAAAAAAAACTTTAAATTCGAACTGAAGTTTTTGAACTGAAGGTTTTCATTACATTATGTTAATAAGTAAAATAACTTATATTTTCCTGTTTTTGATTGTGTTGCACATTTAGTATTATTAAGATTAAATATTTTTTTTCTAGNATATATATATATATATATATATCCTAAAATATATATATATGTTTTTTTAGTAACGGGTAACAAAAAATAGCTGCTACAGGTACTTGGATTATGTATGAATAATTTTTTTAATGACAGCTTCAATAACTGTTACAAATCATTGCATATTCACTACCCGCACGGAACCGGAACGTTGTATTGTGGGTTGAATCATTTGCCCCGTCAGCCCTTCGTGTTCATTGCAAAAAGATGCGCTCCGTTTGAGTTGGCCATGTACAGCTAATAAAGAAAATACCCCAGGGTATCATTTTACCCCGCTTACCCTTCGGAATACAAGCAATAAAGGGGTTCATCAATGGTGAAAATGGCAGAGACAAAGTTTGCAGTGGGCTCAATTTTGGCTCTTTATTGTACTTGCATCCTAATTCAGGCACGAGGGGACGAAATTCAGAGTTGGTTTGGGGATTCGAATGACATCTGATAAATCAGGATAAAAATCTAAATTGAAAATTAATTGAAAATGGACGAAAATTGTATACAATCATAAATCTTATCACTTAATCTTATAAGAACAGCGAGAGGAAGAAGAAATTTTTTTTCTTCATGATTTAAATCTATCATTGAATTTTTTTTCCAACTCTTTTATGAATTTGATAAATAAAAAACTCCGCAATTGATTTGATTTTTGCAGTCACAGTTAAACAGTTGCGAATTTAAAGAATTTGATTAGGAAACAAGTGTTACAAATCGTTTAATTTTTATGAATTTTCGATTCGATTTCTTTAAATACATTTTATTTTATTTTACGAATTTGTAACATGAAAGAATTTGACAAAAAGAAAATTACTATGGAAAAAAAAAAAGACTTTTTAATTTTAAATTTAACGTAACAACTATTTTAGTGAAACGATGCTTTTTTTCTTCATTATTAATCTAAAGCATTTCTGCAATTTTAAACTTATAAATATTATCAAATTGGAAATTCAAAACATTCGAATTCTTTTAGTTATTAACACTAGAAAGATTGAAATTCCTATATTGCCCTCAAAATGACTGCATTGTGAAAGAATAACTAATATGTAAAGAAATTTGTTTAAGATTAATTTTTAATAATTTTGATAATATTTTCAGTTATAAAACAAGTTATTAGTACATATTAACACTAAAAAAATTATGTATTGTACAAAAAGTCACAAAATTCTTAGAAATTGTGTCATCATTGTTTTTCTAATAGAAATTAAAAAGAATAACTTCCTTGGGCAATCTAGTGTTAATACCTATTTTTATAATTAAATAAAATTATCAATAATTAATGGAGTTTAATAAAAATTTTGTTCTTAAGGGTATTGTATAGAAACATTGTTAAGTAGATGTTAAAGCTATTCAATGTGGGAGAAAATTACAATTTTTCAGGTGATAGCTATTTAAGTTACGATTATGAAAAGGCACTTGAAATTATCACTTTCTTTTAAAGGAGTTCGATAAGATTTCAGGAATTATATTTTTCGTCTTTTTTGTTTTGTTTCATTCGTAAACATCTTTTTTGTATACAAACATTTCACTCCTCTACGATTTACATTTTGGATTCAAGTGTTCTAAGTTTATCTCTTATATTGAAACGTTTCTCTCATCAGTTATTATTTTATCAAAAAGTTCCAGATTTTTATCAAGTTTAAATTTTTCCTGAAATTTTTCTCTTTTTGTGCTCATTTTTTATTAAAAATTTTCTTCACGATTTTTTTACTTTTATCAAAAATGCTCTCCGTTTGTTCGTAATTTGCTGAATTTTTTTTCTATTTTGTTCATATTTTTATTAAATTTTTTTTATTGGGCTCATCTTTTTATCAGAAATTTTCCTCTCCCTTTTTCTTTTTTACTTTTATCAAATATTTTTTCCATTCAGTTCATATTTTTTTCAAAAAATAAACCTTCTTTGTTTATATTTTTATTCATTATTTTCTCTTTCAATTTACAGTTTTATCAAAGTTTAAAAATTTTTGCGCTTTGTTCGTATTNCTCCCTTTTTCATATTCCAGTTCATATTTTTTTCAAAAAATAAACCTTCTTTGTTTATATTTTTATTCATTATTTTCTCTTTCAATTTACAGTTTTATCAAAGTTTAAAAATTTTTGCTTTTTGTTCGTATTTCATTGAAATTCTCATTTAGTTCATATTTTTATTAAACATTTTATTCTGTTCATCTTTTTCTTATATTTTTATTAAACATTTTATGCTGTTCATCTTTTTCTTATATATATATATTATAATATATAGAAAATTATTATGATTAATAAATTAATATATTATAATCTTATTCCTATCTTTTAATTTATAGTTTAATCAAAGTTTTATGTACAGTTTTATGCTTTTATATTAGTGACCTCAATCAACTCTTTGATGTATTTTGTTCTAATGATTCCTCCAATTTCCATCCAATTATGAAACACACCTAATTTACATCCTTTGCTCAAGTAAATTAAATTTTCAACAACGCATTAATGCCAAATTCAGAAACCCTTATGCTCATATATACCTTTTATGGGTGTCACCGTTATAAATAACAGATAATTAATAACGAGTAAATAAATAACGAGACTTGTAAAAAAAAGAAAAGGATGACTAGTATCCGAAGATTTAATGAGATCTCATAGTAGTAACAGATGTCTGTCAATAATATGATCACTCGCAGACGAGATGGGGGTGTGGAGGGTTGTTACGGAATCGAAAGCAATTTACTCAGACGTCTGTCTGTCTGGGAGGCATGCTAATTAGAGAGAATCTATCTACATTTGCTGATTTATTAGGCTGTGAAGACTATGCCACGTAATGTCTATTGTATGCCCAAATCGAGCATTGGCCTATGGAACGATTTTTTTCCTTCTATTTTATGATCTGTCTGAATCGTTTGAATACCAAAGTTAGGAATTTAATGACCATTGCCATGGAAGAATTCGAAATATCTGCCTAAAGTGTAGCCCGCATGGCATGTTTCTTTAATTTTTGTTCTATTTGAGAATAAAATGTTTTTTTATTGATATACAATCGATTTATCTAAAAAAAGAAAATAGTTTAAAACTAAACCATTTTTCTAAGGTTCTTGCAAAAATATTTTAAAAATTATTAAATTTGTATTTATTTTGCTTACAAATCAGTTTTTAACAAATTATGAATTCATTGTTCTAAAACTAAATAAAAGTTAAAAGGATATAGTAAAACTATAACGTTTACTTCGTTGATTAAAATCGAAGATTCAAGTGAAAATTAAGCAGATTTCTTATTATAAATGTTAAATGCTATTTTAATTCTTTAAACCCAACTCCAAACGATTTTTGAAAGTTGGTAAGATTAGCTTCTGTTTCTAACGATGCAGTAAATATTCATTTTTCGATGCTTTTATAAGCAGTGACCCGTAATTCAAAATAAATGAATAATAATAATAATAATATTTTTCTGTTAGTTTTGTTTAGTTAAAGTCAAAGTATGAAATAAAAATAAACAGGTTTCTTATTGTAATACCATTTCAATTCTTTCAACTCAACACCAAACGATTTATGTCAGCACCAGGAGATTAGCTTCTGTCTCTAACGATGTAGTAATACCCAATTCTCTGTGTTATCATAAGCGGTGAACGATTCATCTCTTTAAAAGGAAACCACCAGAAAAGTCTCAAAAATTTCTCTCTGCCCTGTCGACCTTTGTATCTTGTTTCCCTCATGTTCTAAGAACAAGACCTACATACCAACAAAACAAGTGGGGAGTCGAACATTTAGAGGAAAACCACGTGTTAATGTGCGAAGAGAAAAACTATGTATATTTCGCGGTAAGTTATTCTTGGTATTGCTCTCACTGACTTCCAGAGAAAAATGCTCTTTTTAAAAGTTTACTTTCCTTTTTCCTCATATAGGTTCGAAAGACGAAAACATCGTTTAGGTTCGAAAATAAAACTCTTGAAATTATCGTCTGTCACAGAAATTTCAAAAGGATAATAATAGGTTGGGAAAAATTATGTTCTTTTGATAGTATGAAAAACCAATATATAGTTTAGTTTCATGCATAAAATCTTACAAATTATCGTCTGAAATTTCAAAAGAAGTAAATTTCATCGTAAATAAAAGTTAAGAAAAAGTAATAATGCTCTTTTTTTCTTCATAAGTGTTCAAAAGGCGAATTGCATCGTTTGTTAAAGTCATCGTTTCATTTCAAAATCAAAATCCTAGAAATTGTCACTGGAATACCAAAATAGTTTTATGAATGAAACTATAAGAAAAAATAATTCTTTCTACTCAGTTTTGGTATATATCGTTTAGTTTTGAGAATGAAATTCCAGACGTTTTCGTATCTCATTAGAATTACAAAGACAGTTAGTTGGAGTTTAAATAAGACCATAAAAAAAATTCTAATTTCCTCACATGACATTCAAATGCTATTACATGAAGCTTTAAATGTACAGAACAAAATTCTAGATATTATGATCTCTCATTGAAATTATAGAAGAAAGAAATTTTGTTATATGCTGATATTTGAGTAATATTATGGTTAAAAGTAAGGGTATTTTGCCTCAACACAACTGATTTGCGCACTTATACTTATTAGCACTTATACATATGTATGTATACATACGCATATATACATACGAATAGTTCTTGAGACATCAAATTTTAAATATGCGACTTTTTTAAAATTAAATTTAATAACTCAGAAACTATTATCCCGATTTCGTTCAAATTCTGCCATTTAAAATTACTTTCTTTATATTGACGTAAAAAATTTTATACCTTACAATTCACAATTTTTTGACTACTATTAAATAAAATAATAAAAAATATTAAATAATTATTAAAAATTATTTTCTGTTTGAAATTACTGTTGGATAACCGAATTTAAAGGCTAAACGAACTGTTGGATGGCGAAAATTTTCCAAGTCGCTTACAAAGATCTCGAGGTATCTCGTGAACTTTCTTTTATAACTGTAGTTGAACAGCCGACCCAATTTTGAGTTCACGACAACCAATGTTCAACTCCGTAGCCTTGTAATATTGAACCCACTATAGAAGACAAGTGAACTCCTTGATCAAGTATTGGAAGAAATTTCCTTCGTGGAGGAACTTTTTGATGTAACTAACCTGCGTTTGCGTTACAGGAAGAGGAAAACCAGGGAAATCTCGCATGGTTAGCCAGACGGAAAGGGGACTCTAAACCATGATCCACCTACCACTGAGGGTATTTTAAGTCAGCACTGTGGTTGGTGCGAGCTGGGTGTGGAATTCGTATCAATCAGCCATTGTTAGGATTCGAACCCGGAACTCCTCAGTGGGAGGTGAGGACTCAATCACCTGAGCCACTTCGTCTTTATGAAAGTTTTGAACTTCTTACTTTTTACGTATTTCACCAAAAAAATAAAAATTAACATTAAGGGATGCAAACTGTGGATCGCTTTCCTGTCCAAACTATTGGGACATTTAAAAAAAATTTATAATTACTTAATTACCTCTCTATTTCGAGGATCAATAATATAAATCCTCTAAAAAGAGGTATGTTTCTTTAGAGAAAGTAAGTGTTTGTGCATGTTACTCGAAATATCGTAATTTACACTAATTAATTAAAATATTTAAAGTTATCCTCTCAAATTTTTAAGATTGAATCGCAGTAGGTGAAAATTCTATCATTAGATTAAAAGTTATTCAGAGTATTCACTTTTTTTGTGTGCGTTTGCGTCTGCTATTCGATAGGAGTTTCAGTTACTGGGAAATAAATAATAATGAAAAGCTGTAAAATGCTGTGAATATATTTGCAACAGCACATGCATCCGCTATAAGCGAAAACTTGAGAAATTTGTTTTCTAGTTATTTCTTTTAAAGGGAACTAAAGAAAAAATATATCCTTTCGCAAAATATTAATAATTAAAAGACTTTACTTCCATTAAGCCTTAATAGATTAAACTCAAACACTAAGCTTTTTTATTATGAACACAAATAAGTAATGAACGACTAAGTAAAATCGTTTATATTGAAAAGATAATTTTGCCGAGATGCGGACAGATTTTGAATTTGGAATTATACCGCTAACAGGTTAAGAAAGCAGGAATTCGCCAATAAGAAGAAAAAAAAATAATATCAAAAGAAAGAAAGTGTCTGGCTCAAAATTTACGATCAACATTTCTCTTTTATCACAAAGCTTTTAAAATTCCGTGGATAGATAAATTTTCTTACTTGTGTGAATGACTATAAGAAAAAAAAAATTCCATTCAAGGTTAAGTAGTGCATCTCATTCAATGCCACTGAATGTCTGAATGAAAAGTTTCAGAATTCTTTGTGAAAAGCCATTGTTTATTTTTTTCCCTTCTTTTTTTCGTATACTTAATTCAGGTTTTTCAAGACTTACATCTTTAAGAAAAAGTGCACCCCTCAAACTAATTACAAAACATTTGTATAATTTGTCGTAGAACAGCCGACCTATTTTTGGGGGTTTAGGATTATTAATGTTCAACTCCGTAGCCTCGTAATCTTAAATCCAATATAGAAGACAAGTGAACTCCTGAATAAAGTATTGAGCTTCGTGGCGGATTTTTTTTTCTGATGATTTGCGTTATATGGAGAGAAAGAGCACGCAAACCTCCCACTTTTAGCCTGACGGCAAGGAGACTCTAACCCAGTGTTTCCCAATCTTTTTTGTGCCATGCCCCACCTATGTAACATATACATAATTTTTAATATTAAAAAAAATTTAATTGTTCGTTTAAGAATCTTAAATTATGGGTTTTAGGAAGAAATCACTAGGAAATAGTTAACGAAAGACAGTAAGTAAATTTTCAAAACACATAATGAAAAACTAAATTCTAAATAATTTTAATAAAGATTTTCCTATAATAATTTAATATTTTAATTTAGTGAGATCCTTGCGCTTGATGCACAGAGATTTTATGTTAGGTTCTAATTTGGTTAGCTTCAGTTTCAAGTCACCCCGTTTTTTTTATATCCGGACGATTTCTTTTTTTTAACCAGTAAATCATTTACAGCACTAAATCCACATTCAGCTAAATATGAAGATGGAAACGGTAACAATAGTTTTCTTGCACAGTTGGTTGAATTTGGTTATTTGATTTCTGTTTCCTCACAAACTTATGCCATCACTCCTTTTATATTAAATGAAGTTTTAACTGACTCATCATTTTGCATTTCTGCGAGTTCTTCTTGATACTGCATATTTGATATATCAGACAAATCCACTAGCATTGAATGAATGCATCATCCATGTAGGAAAATCAATTTGTTTAAAATCAGAAAATCTTTCTTTTAAATCGACCGATAGAATTTTCTGATGATCGACAATAACAATTAAAGCGGTATCATTTACTTCACATTTTTGGAGTCAATGAAACTGTTCAATGTTTTTGTTGTTAATATATTTCTGTCATAACTCAATAAGGGTAATAAAACACAATATCCTCGCTTTTGCATTATTAAGAGTTTTATTTGTTCCTTGAAGTTGCTTATTTAATCTATTTAGTTTTTCAAAGATATCGGCTAAATGACTCACAAATGCTTTACAATCGACTGTTAACAGGTACTTCATTTCAGGTTTGCCACTAAAAAAAATCACGAAGAGTATCAAACAGTTTCATAAATCTTTTCAAGAAGTTCCCTATAGAGAGCTATCTTACTTCAGTGTGAAGCAAAAGTCTCATATGGTCTGTTTTTTTTCTTCACAAAATAGCTTGAAGAGACGCTCACATTAGTTTTAATAGCATTGATACACTTTATTACTGAATGTAGTACTTCATTTAGAAGAGGCGAGATGTTTTTAGCTACCAAGTTTTCCCTGTGCACAAAAGTCATTCCTGGATTCTCATCTTTCTTCAATTTTAAGCAGCCATTTTTCTTGCCCATCATATTAGNCAGGCGAGATGTTTTTAGCTACCAAGTTTTCCCTATGCACAAAAGTCGTTCCTGGATTCTCATCTTTCTTCAATTTTAAGCAGCCATTTTTCTTGCCCATCATATTAGGAGCACCATCTGCAGCACAAGATGTTACATTTTTCATTGGTATATTATTGACATCTAAGTAGTTTTTAAACTTATTATATATATCTTTGGAGGAAGTGGTGCTTTCTAATCTTTTACTGAACAACATTTATTCAGCAAAATGCCCTTTATCAATATATATTATGTAAGTTATCAATACTGCCACACTGTCTATCAAAGTTGANATCAATACTGTCACACTGTCAATTTATTCATCCGTTTGCACTGAGAATTTTCTAGTTTTCAGCTTTTCAACAAGTTGTTTTTCAATATCTTCACTCATTTCGTCTATTCTTCTGCTAACAGTGTTGTTGCTGAGTGGCATAGCTTTTAAAACTTTATCAAGAACCATTTTAAGAAATGCTGATATTGACGGTTTTATTAAATTCTTTCCTATAGTATGATTTTTTCCGGGAATCCACGCGTAGCCNTTTTCAATATCTTCACTCATTTCGTCTATTCTTCTACTAACAGTGTTGTTGCTGAGTGGCATAGCTTTTACAACTTTGTCAAGAACCATTTTAAAAAATGCTAATATTGACGGTTTTATTAAATTCTTTCCTATAGTATGATTTTTTCCGGGGATCCACGCGTAGCCTGCCGTCTGCTGCAGAGAGGTTAACTTGATGACGCCAAAAACCCAGTTGATATTTTGTTCTCGTCAAACGAATTTATAATATTTATTGGCCGCAATTATTTAAGAATTTGCTATTTTCTTTTAATTTCGGCACCGAAATCTAACATTGCATTTAAATGGCCCGGAGCAAAAGGGTTAAACTCATGTAGAGTCCATTTTCGA